AAAAGAATAAGTAAATGAGTCAGACCCAATAATCCTTCAAACTTCACATAATTAACATGAGGCTAGGATAATTGTCAAAGTTAAGGAGTGTGAAAATAGACTTAATTCGATGGATAAACCCGAAAAACCCGATAAATAGAAAGTCTAGGTCAAAACATTTGTGACCTAAATTTAATGAGACCTACTTGGGTCATGACCTACATGTTGAGGCCAAGCTAGCTCGTAGGTTGATGAGTTGGTCTCGTTTTATAGAATAATAATTATTTTTTAAATAAAAATAAAAATAAAATTATTATATTAATATATATACATATATATATATATATATATATATATATTACAAATTAATTTAAAAAGAGATTCACTTATTCTAAAAGTAAATATAAGAATAAATTTCTAATAATCACTTTTTTCAATTAATGATTAAGATTAATGACTATTTTAAATTAATAAATTACTAAAAGATAAATAATGATAATAAAAAACAAGTTTTTAATACTTATTTTGAGATTAAATGGATACATTCTCTTATTTTTATATAATAAATTATTATATCTTAAACAAAAACTAATTTTATTAATAAAATTTAAATTTTAAAAATATATTTTATTTTTTATTTTTTTAAAATATTTTTAAATTAATTAATTTTGTATAAATATGTTAATATTTTAAAAAAATTCAATCGAGACAAAATTTGACTTATTAACCTCGTTAGCCAACCATAAACTCAGGCTAAACTAAAAATTTTGTGTCATTTTAAAATATAAATTTGGTTAGATCATCAAATTATTTTACTTAACTTATAGGGTTAGACTAACCTGGACTCCGAGTAACCTATTTTAAAAGTTTTATCATTTTTCTTATTAATGAGTTGAGAACACATATTGAAGATGATTATTTATTATATCACCGAGTAGTGTATTGTCAAGTAGCTTTAAAATCCAAACTCATTTCTAATAAAAATAAATCTAATAATTTGATATTATAATAGAACAAAACTCTATTTTTATTTTGCTTTGACAAAGTTTTATAGTTTAAAGTAGTATGATGGACTAATTCAAAAGGCTCGAAAAATAGATCAAGTTAGACCAATCAATTTATGGCCTAAATAGAACTAAACAAATTTTGGTCCGACCTATTCAAGTCAAACTTAAATGGACTTAAGTCAAACTAGCCCGTAGGCTAATGAGTCGACCCATTTTATAAAATAATAATTATTTTACCAATAAAATAAAAGTAATATTATTTTATTAGAAAATATATGTATAATAAATTAATTTGATAATATATTTTGTTATATATATATATATATATATATATATATATATTAATAAAAAAAATTCCAAACATAATCTTCTTTACTTTGATAATCTTTTTTCTCTCTATTATTACCGTAGTATCTACTTCTAAGGATAAATAATTTAAGACGACATATTCTTAAATGCGATGTATTTCCAAAGTATCATGATGTGGAAATTATGTTGAATAATAAGGATAACTTGTTGAAATAATGACAATTTGACTTTATAATTTATCTAGATGTGTTATCTAATATTTCGATTGAATATTTTAAACCAATTACTATAAATACTTATTTATAACGTGTATTTAACTCGAAAAGAAAAAAGATGTCTCGTATCTAATATTTTTTGTGGGATATGTTTGACTTCGACATATAAATAACTATAACTCTTCAAACGTGATGGTAACAACTCATTTTTATGATTTTATACCTTTAATATTATTTTTTCCTAAATAGGTTATAAGTTAACTCTAAATAAACAAATGAATGACATTTTTTTTTAAAACAAAATTAAGAAAAACTATATACATAAATAAAAAATTAATTAGGCCAACAATAGTCCATTAGCTTGTTGGTCTAACATAGGACCATACTATACTAAAACTTTTGTCCCATTTTAAAATATAAGTCTGAACCATTAATTTTTTTTTTACTTGGCTCATAAGACCAGGTGAGACCAGACTCGAACCACCCATATTGAAAATCTTAAATAATATAACTATTAAACATATTTAAATATATTTGTTCACTATACTATATTTACTTCTTATATAGAAATCTCTATATATTATTACTATTATTATTATAACAATAATAGGTCAATGCATTTTGTTTTCTTATTTAATTATTTTCCATTACCTAAAATTTATAAAAGATTAAATAGTATTTAATGTATAATTTGTTAATTAAAATATTAATAAATAAATGAATATATTTTAAAAGAATTATTTTTCATATTTTTTAAATAACTTTTTTATATAATATTATTAAAATATAATTTAATTTTTTATATATAAATTAAATAATATTTTATCATAATATAAAATATCTAAATTATATTTTAATATTAATAGATAAAAATTATTTATAACTTTTTTTAATTTACTTAAACTTTAATACTGAATTCTGCGTTCAATTCTACCTTACTAAAAACTTTTACTATATCCCAGAATAATTTTAATAAAATAAAATCCTCGTCCAATAACGATTGAGTTTTTTTCTTTTTTTTTTGAGTTCTCGTTTATATATAAATGAATCACTTTCACCAGCCTTGTCTTACCTTTCACCTTCATTTTCACAGCTCGTACGTAGCGGAAACTGGTAAGTGGTTCCATTTTTTTTCCCCTTTTTCATTTTTTTCTAGTCATGTATGGTTTGTTTTCCTCCTTCTTCTTCTTATTTTTATTTTTTTTTATTTTCTTTTTCTTTTTCAGTTCACCCATAGCTATAAAACAAATCAAAACTTCTTGTACCCCTAACTTTTTTTGCCGAAAATACATGTTCTCCACCAATGCACACGTTCTTGGCATGTGTTTTGTTGTCTTCTTCGGTGACATGTGTTTTATTGCCCCTTTTAAACATATTTTCTCTTTTTATTTACTTTATTTTTCTTATTTTCTTCATTTTCCTTTCAAGCTTCACTATAAAACAACGAAAAATCAAAACTTTTTTTGTCCCTAACTTTTTTTTTTTTTTTCGGAAATAAATGTTTCAGTTGCTTAGTTCTCCAGCATGCATAGGGTTTTGGTATGTGTTTTAGCATCTTCTTTAAATATTGGTTCCTTTTTTTATTGGTCTCAGAAGAAACAAAAATCGAAGTTAAAACTTTGTTGTTTTTCTTCGGCGACGAGAAATAAAGAATAAATGAGTTTAGAGATAGAGAGAAAAATAATATATAAGAAATCGAGTATAAAACTATTTGCTTAACCGCAGTTTGAAACCATTTTTACTCAAAATAAAACTAATTTTTATCTTCTCCCATCAATCCCATTTCACTTCATCCAGGCAAACCATTAAGGTTTTAATGTGAGATTTGAGGGATACAATAATTTTTTATCCTAATAAAATAGTTATAAAGTTATAGATTCTATCTTTCTTTTTTCTTCATTTCTATCTTATAATAAATGCTGAAGTATAACTTAATTAAAGATTAGGTAAAAAACTTAGTGTAATTGCAAAAAGAGTCTTCAACTTACATAAACCAATATAAAAAATATTCCAAAAATCTTACATGAAGTTGGAGATCTTGAAGTTTTGATAATGGAAAACTCCATTCCTGGTGGTTGAGAGAAGCTGAATGTGTGCCTGCACATAAGTGGCCATTTTAGCCAAAAAATTAGATTGGTGTATGAAAATTCAAACTTCAAGTTTATATATAAAAGCTCTCACACAAGGTTGCAGATAGAACAAACAAAGAAACTATTGGGAGGTCATGTCAAAGGTCTAAAGCGATTCAAGTGAATTATGAAATGCCAATGGTCCTTAGTGATTTAAGGAATTATGAAATTTCACAGGTTTAAAGTTAATAATGCCTGCTGTTAGAACTTTCACTAATGCTTTTTCTTTATTAAGTCAGAACTTTCATTAAAGCTTTTTTTCTTTATTAAATTTTAGAGTACTGCTTCTTGCCTTCTTGTTTAGCACGAGGAGGTATTTCAGTGTTTGCTACTACAATCTTATGATTTAAATTTGGAGAATGTTACTGTTCTGTTTATATCCTTCTAACTTGTAGTTAACTTGTTATGAATAACAAACATGAAGACATCTATCTGGACAAATATTTGTAGATAATAGGTTAATGTCTAAATTAGTTCAAAATATACAGGGTCACAACTAACTAAAAAAATAGACACAAATAATAAGAGTACAGTCCTTATGATGAAAGCACATTCAAACCTGACCAAAAACTGTCTCTTCCTAAGTTTACATTGCCTAGTTGTGTTTGGCAGGAACCTTGGTATCCAATACAACTTGCTAAGGAAAGGGTGGTGTTATTATTCATTAACTTGGGGAGGGGGAATCTCTGTATCATTAGTTTCATCTTAACCATAGTATTGACGAATGACATGAAAGATCTTGAGTAGCAATAATATTCTAATTGCATTGTGACTAAGAAAAATCTTCAGTTTTGTTGTTGATTCCCGCAGTACCATTTCTAAATCCTTGAATACTGTTAAAGATACGATTTGATTATATTAAATAAGAAGATATAATATGATTTAATTACATTAAATAGGGAAATAACAAATATTTCTCATTCTTAATTATTGATTTTATTCCTTATTATTGTATCTCAACTTCGTTATAAATAAGAAATAGTTATGCGTACACTACAAACACAATTACAAGCAATACTTTCAATAAATATAATAATTTATAGTATTTCTATCTTGTGGGAAGTGGGTAGTGGGTTAGTTGTCGAATCTTTATATTATAAGAGTACCATACTAGCAGCAACTGGGATGGATGCACCATTTTTCACCGGTTTATGCATTGTCAGTCCATTCAATTGTAATAAGAATGTCACTTTAGATTTCGCCAGATTGAATCCATGGAAAATCTGAAACTCACTCAGCATAGGATTTTTCTGTAGAAAAACTGTCAACTGCAAATTTTGATATATAGTTTTATCTCTAACAGTTATTTGCTTTTTCAAGCATATATATTATATTGTTGCTAGTGGCATATCTGTAGGAGAATGCAGTTGGTTCTAGCGTTGCCTGCTGTGAAAGAAGGAAGCACGACTTATGTACAGCCACCGAAGCGAAAGAGTGAAGAAACTAATGACAACAAAAAGAATTCAATTGAACATGATTTACAAAGGAGGGGCAAAGAAATTGAAACTGGGAATACCAAAACCAGTAATGAAATGAAAATTCTAAAGTACTCCCCACACGTCCAGAGTGACTGTGGGATGAAGGGAGTAAGTGACCTGGATATCATGTTTAATAATACATATGTATGAAGAAACAATTTGTCAATTTGAAAACAGCTAAAGAGAAACTAAAAAATGTGTCTTCAGCCCCAAATGATAAAAATGATTTTTTTTTTCCTTTGTTACTTTTTCATGTGCTTATGGGAAAACTTATGCAGGATAAGGGGAAAGACATTGTAGATGAGATTGCAGTCGAAACAACCATTTTACCTCTGCGTGCCATGAAAGATGGAAAACTGATTAACATAAAGAAGCTGAAGGCTGAAGGAACTCTTACCAATCGAAATAGTTTGATTGAACATGATTTGCTAGGGAGTGGTGAAGTTCCAATGTTTTCTCCATACCTTCAGAATGACTATGGGAAGGAGGGAGTAAGTGACCTTAATAGCTTGTTTGGTTTGTCTATCTGAAAACAACAAAGGGAAACTAGTGATAAAATGAGTTTTTTTTTTTTCCCTTTAAATAAGCTAAAACAAAACAAAAATTGATTCTTTTTCCTTGTTTCTTACTTTTAAGGATGCTTGTGAAAATTTCATTCAGGGCAACGCAAAAGGTATTCTGGCATTGCCTGCTCCGAAAGAAGGAAGTGTTGTTGATATAGAGAAGCCAGATGGGAAGAAGGAAGAAGCTGATAACAACAGAATTAGTTTGATTGAACCTTATTTAAAAAGGAGTGACAATAAAAGTAGTGCTGCAAACTTCACAACCAAAAATGGGAAGAAGGGAGTAAGTGACCTTAATACCATGTTTTGTAATAAATAATACCTATATATATAAACAATTTCTGTTTATCTGGAAATCGCTAAGGGAAGACTAGTGAAAAAATGAATTTTTATCTAAAATAAGGTGAAACCAGAATGTGAAAAATGTTATTTTTTCTCTTGTTGTCTTTACAAGTGCATGCGAAAAATTCATGCAGAACAATTTAGAAGAGTTTGATGAGGCTGCCGAAAGTAGATTCAAACTCGAGATGAATGGGCCTCAAGGTGACAGTGGGGAGAAGATTGATCCTAAATTATGTTATGACAGTGGAAGGAAGGGAGATGAAACTTCAACTGAAAAGATCAAATCCAAAAGGGAAAGAAGGTCAAAGAAGTGTGAGCCTCAAGCTAGCAACAAGGGGAATATTGATCCGGAGCCAAGTTTTTATGGCTTTGACATTGGATTTGATGAAGACAAGCTCCTGACAGATGGAAAGATTAAATCCAAGATACAGGAAAAGATAGTCGTTGAGGATAAGCTGCAGGAGAATGATGATGAGGCTGCCGATACCAGTGGATTTAAACTCAAGATGAAAGAGCCTCAAGGTGACAGTGAGGAGAAGATTGATCCTGAATTGTGTTATGGCAATGCAGGGAAGGGGGATGAAGCTCCAACTGAAAAGATCAAATCCAAAAGGAAGAGAAGGTCAAAGAAGTGTGAGCCTCAAGCTAACAACAAGGAGAAGATTGATCCTGAGCCAAGTTGTTATGGCTTTGACATTGGATTCGATGAAGACAAGCTCCTGACAGATGGAAAGATTAAATCCAAGGTACAGACAAAGATAGTCGTTGAGGATAAGCTGCAGGAGAATGATGATGAGGCTGCCGATACCAGTCGATTTAAACTCAAGATGAATGAGCCTCAAGGTGACAGTGAGGAGAAGATTGATCCTAAATTGTGTTATGGCAATGCAGGGAAGGGAGATGAAGCTGCAACTGAAAAGATCAAATCCAAAAGGAAGAGAAGGTCAAAGAAGTGTGAGCCTCAAGCTGGTGACAAGGAGAAGATTGATCCTGAGCCAAGTTGTTATGGCTTTAACGTTGGAATTGGTGAAGACAAGCTGCTGGAAGATGGAAAGATTAAATCCATGGTACAGAACAAGGTTGTTGACGATAAGCTGCAGGAGAATGATGATGAGGAGGCTGCCGAAACGAGTAGATTCAAACTCAAGATGAATGAGCCTCAAGGTGACAATGGGGAGAAGATTGATCCTAAATTGTGTTATGACAGTGCAGGGAAGGGAGATGAAACTGCAACTGAAAAGATCAAATCCAAACAGGAGAGATGGTCAAAGAAGTGTGAGCCTCAAACTAGCAATGAGGATAAGATTGATCCTGAGCCAAGTTGTTATGGCTTTGACATTGTATTTGGTGAAGACATGCTCCTGACAGATGGAAAGATTAAATCCAAGGTACAGAAGAAGGTCGTTGAGGATAAGCTGCAGGAGAATGATGATAAGGCTGCCGAAACCAGTAGATTTAAACTCAAGATGAATGAGCCTCGAGGTGACAGCGGGGAGAAGATTGATCCTAAATTGTGTTATGGAAGTGCAGGGGAGGAAGAGGAAACTGCAACTGAAAAGATCAAATCCAAAAGGAGGAGAAGGTCACAGAAGTGTGAACCGCAAGGTGGCAACCAAGACAAGATTGATCATGAGCAAAGTTGTTATAGCTTTGACATTGGATTTGGTGAAGACAAGATCCTGACAGATGGAGAGATTAAATCCAAGGTACAGAAGAAGGAAGTCGTTGAGGATAAGCTGCAGGAGAATGATGATGATGAGGCTGCCAGTAGATTCAAACTCAAGATGAAGGAGCCTCAAGGTGACAGTGGGGAGAAGATTGATCCTAAATTGTGTTATGGCAGTGCAGGGAAGGAAGAGGAAACTGCAACTGAAAAGATCAAATCCAAAAGGAGGAGAAGGTCAAAGAAGTGTGAGCCTCAAGCTGGCAACAAGGAGAAGATTGATCCTGAGCCAAGTTGTTATAGCTTTGACATTGGATTTGGTGAAGACAAGATCCTGACAGATGGAGAGATTAAATCCAAGGTACAGAAGAAGGAAGTCGTTGAGGATAAGCTGCAGGAGAATGATGATGATGAGGCTGCCAGTAGATTCAAACTCAAGATGAAGGAGCCTCAAGGTGACAGTGGGGAGAAGATTGATCCTAAATTGTGTTATGGCAGTGCAGGGAAGGAAGAGGAAACTGCAACTGAAAAGATCAAATCCAAAAGGTGGCGAAGGTCAAAGAGGTGTGAGCCTCAAGCTGGCAATAAGGAGAAGATTGATCCTGAGCCAAGTTGTTATAGCTTTGACATTGGATTTGGTGAAGACAAGCTCCTGACAGATGGAGATATTAAATCCAAGGTACAGAAGGAGAAAGTCGTTGAGGATAAGCTGCAGGAGAATGATGAGGCTGCCAGTAGATTCAAACTCAAGATTAATGAGCATCAAGGTGACAGTGGCGAAAAGATTGATCCTAAATTGTGTTATGGCAGTCCAGGGAAGGAAGAGGAAACTGCAACTGAAAAGATCAAATCCAAAAGGAGGAGAAGGTCAAAGAAGTGTGAACCTCAAGCTGGCAACAAGGAGAAGATTGATCCTGAGCCAAGTTGTGATAGCTTTGACATTGGATTTGGTGAAGACAAGCTCCTGACAGATGGAGAGATTAAATCCAAGGTGCAGAAAAAGATAGTCGTTGAGCATAAGCTGCAGGAGAATGATGATGATGAGGCTGCCGAAACCAGTAGATTCAAACTCAAGATGAATGAGCCTCAAGGTGACAGTGCGGAGAAGATTGATCCTAAACTGTGTTATGGCAGTGCAGGGAAGGGAGATGAAGCTGCAACTGAAAAGATCAAATCCAAAAGGAAGAGAAGGTCAAAGAAGTGTGAGCCTCAAGCTGGCAACAAGGACAGGATTGATTCTGAGCTGTGTTGTGATGGCTGTGACACTGGATTTATTGAAAATAAGCAGCCGGCAGATGGAATAATTAAATTCAAGGAAAAGACGAAAGCAGTTGAGGATGAGTTGCCGGAGAATGGTGATGACGCTGAATCTAGTAAATTCAAACTCCTGAAAATAGGACCTGAAATTAAAAAAAATACAGTCCAGCTTGGTGTTAGATATGTTGCACCTTCATTTCAAAATGATAGTGCAAAGAAAATTCTTGCTTTACCTACCTCTGAGGACTTACTGGGGGATAAAGTGGAAGAAAATGGTAGCAGGGTACAGATTAATCAGCAGGGACAAGATGGGTGTGTTTTTTCTGTTGTGTTAACTTCTCCTGAAAATGGAAATAGATTTGAATCCATTAGCATAAAATTCAAGAAGAAACCTATCGAGGTGAGTGCCAAGGTTGGAAAGGCTAATCATTGCTCTCAAATTGACAATATGAAGAAGAGTGTTGAGGTAGAAGCGCTTGAACATGAACAAGGTTTGAAAGGAAATGGAAATGAAATTGAAACCATTAAGGTTAAATTCACGAAGAATAGAAAGTCAAATGATGAAAAAGGTGCTGAGGGGCATGAATGACAAGGTTTGAAAGTTTTCTCGTTGCTCTCAGAATGACAATGTGAAAAGTAATTGATGATGAAAATGATTTTGATTCTCTGGTGCTTTTGTGGGTTAGCACTAGCTGTAGGGTGTACCTTTTGTTGGGGTGTGTTTTGAATCAGTTTCCCCACTCGTGTAGTCGTAGTAATGTATATTCCACATTTGGACATATATCCTTTGTCACATATCATCCCCTTTTTGAGATACTTCGATCTTTTGCAGTACATGGGTTGGATTTAGTTATTATATATGGGTTGTATCTATATTGCTGTAGAGCATGACAGTATTTTGACTTGTTTATGCATTGTTTTAAGTCTTATTTAGCATTTTCTTTTTGCTTGATGTTTAACTTAGAGTATAATTGATTTGATGAATGCTATTAATTTATTAAAGGCATGTTTCGAATAACTTTTCTATGAAGAACTGATATCTATCAGAGCACTTTGCAAAAATTGTGTTCATTGCTTTATTTCCACTGTATTCTATTATATCCCTAAACAGTTTTCATACAAAACTACAACTTCATTCGAAGTACACTATTTTTTATTTTTCCTGAATAGGTTTTATTCATATTTGGAAGATATTCGGTTTATACTATAACTGGTATTAAGCAGAGAGCTTTCTTATCCTGGACCGAGTAACCTCGAATCTTCTAGTCAATCTTTTACTTAAATCTTCTAATACTGAATTTTATTGTATAGAATAGTCTATAATGAAATGGTAATATGAAATAATGATACTGCATTTTGCTATTTTTCTACAAACTTTTAATATTTATAATTGAAAAATTAAAATATTCAGAAATTAAAATTTCTATAAATAAAAATTGCATAGTAATTAACTATAATTTTTGGTTGATTTTATCTATAACCGTTAAAATGAATGGATCAGTTTTGTCTATATTTAAAAATGATTTTATAATTTTTAGTTTAATTGGATCATATATTAAATAAATGGGATAATGGGTTAAATTTAGTCTGATTAAAAATTAAAAAATATTAATGTATTTATATAAAAATAATTAATTTAAAAAATATTTAAATAAAAATAAAATAATATATTTTTAAAATTTAAATTATATTAATGAAATTAATTTTTATTTAACCTATAATAATTTAATATAAAAAAGTATAAAAAAATCCATTCATTCAATTTTAAAATAAAAATTAAAAATTAAATATTCATTATCATTTTTTATTTTAATAATTTATTAATTTAAAATAATAATTAATTTTAATCATTAAATTTTTAAACAGTGATTATTAAAATTTATTCTCACATCTAGTTTTATACTAAGTAAATTTCTTATCAAATTAATTTATAATATATATATATATATATATATATTTTTTTTTTTTATTAAAATAATATTATTTTATTTTTAATTTAAAAATAATTATTATAAAACAAAACGGGTAAAAATAAATTTAATTTAAAACGAGTGGGATCAAAATAAATATAATTTAATTTAAGTTATATTTTTTTTATCTAACCTAGTATATTTTTTGAGCCTTTTAAACAGATTTATTAAATTAAGTTTATTTTGACATTTGTAGGTTTACGAGTTCTAAAAAAAGTATTACGAATATTGAGATATAAAATATATATATACATAAAACTCTCAACATTTCCATTAAAAACATACTTTATTTGTCCCATAATTTGTTTGTGAATTCTGATAAATACACGTTACCAGTGTTTTGTAAAAAGTTGTTTATTTTGGGTTGCTTTTCCAATTCCCTCGCAAACTCTTACATATTCTATGAAGTATACTTGACTTATATATTTTGATACTTATAAATCTAATTGCATCTTGATCTCAGATCGTGGTTATGTTCTCATTTTAATGGTATAAATTTTGTTACATGTATTAGGAAATAGACATTGTTTATTTTTAAAATAACATTAAATGCTATATGTTCCTTTCCATAATTTGGTAAATTTATGTTTTAATGTACTATATTTTATTATGGAACAAGATAAATGTTGATGCCAATCCATTATAATTGTAGTTAATAGCAAAAATGTCAATATTATAAAAGTATCTATTATATTATCACAGATAAAAGTGTGTCACAATCAAATCATGACTGATGACGTAAATATACACATTTAAAAAAATTGAAACCATCATTATAATTATTAAATAAAATTATAAAAAATATTTTTTTAGAAAATGGTCTTGGAGACCAAATTTGGATGAGAATGGATTATGGGTAAAAAAAATATTAACATCCTATAATATTGGTCTTAATATAATTATTTTTAGTTAAATATATAAAATAAATATTATTTTTAAAAATATTTATTTCTCTTAAATATTAAATAAAGAAGGACAAGAAAAAGAAAAAATATATTAAAAATATTTTATTTTGATAAACAAAAATTAACCTTAATTTTTATTCATGATGAAAAATCATTCTACGTATTTTTATTGATGATGAAAAATCAGAATTACAGTTCATTCTTCAAAAAAGTTTGTGTTAAAATTAATATTTTTAAATTTTTTTATATATTTTTATTTCTAAAATGTTGTAAAATATAAAATGGCACGTACCACCATATTAGGTACATTTACGAAAAAATTATATCAGATATAAGACAATACAATTAATTTATACATAAATGTGTTTCACATATTAAAATTCACAAATATAAAATTTATGGGTAATAAATACCAATTACGTTAAATAATTAGTCTAGCAATTAGTAGTTGCAATAGTATATGATGATGGTTCAGTAATTGCATTAGTATATTATGATATTTTAGAATAATATATGAGAGGCATTTGATGATAATAAACTTCGCAAAATCATATAATGAATAAAAAAATATATAAATTGTAAATAACAAATATATTAATAATTAGAAACCTATATATACATCCTAATAATTAGATCAACTATATAACTACAATCATATAATAACATTGTACTGCAGTGACCATAATTCGCATTCCAGTATTGATAATCCAGGCTTAATAATTCGCATTTCAGTACACCTACGTATTTCCAGTATCTTTTGGGTCATTCAATACTTCCTCTTCTCGAAACACCCGTAAAAAAAAAAAAAAAAAAAAGACCTAACTTGGACCACTTAATGGGACTTTTTTTTAATAAATAATACTATTTTTAAAAATATTTCCCAAAATAGTACATCCTGAACATTATTTACACAACTAGCACTCTCTACTGTTCACGTATTAAAATAATCAATTATTTTATATTATGATCGATTATTTCGCGCAATCAACTCTCGCTCAAGCGAAGAAACCCCTCGCTTGAGCGAAGAAATCTGTAACAAAGGAGTAATCTCGGGTCAATTCTCACTCAAGTGACAGGTATTTTCGCTTAAGCGAGAAGTGATTAAAATATGTGATAACCCAAGTTGCGTTATGTGGCTAACTGCGTTGGACGTTTAACCTGTGGTCAATTCTCGCTCAAGCAATGAGTTACTTCGTTATGTGTCACTTTTAAGAACGGTTAATATTTTAACCGCTCTTAAAAGTGAACATATAATAGCGGTTTCACGTTAACCGCTATCTAAAATATACTTTTAATAGCGGTTAGTTCTAGAACTGCTATCTAAAATCTCGGGTCAATTCTCGCTCAAACGACGGGTACTTTCGCTTGAGCGAGAAGTGATTAAAATATGTGGTGACCCAAGTTGCATTATGTGGCTAACTGCGTTCGACGTTTAGCCTAGGTCAATAGTTGCACTCAACTTCAAACCATCAACTCTTATGGCTCCCAGTTATCCTCGAGGCATGTATATGAACTTTCTCTCTTTTGCTTTCATTGTGTGTCTCTTTTTTTGAAAAGTATAATACTATTACTACTTGTCCACAAAGTTTGGACTTGAACCATGTGCTAACCCATCTCACCATTATATTCCAAGTTTGAAGTAGCTAGCAACTAGCAAGCCTGTTTTAATACGAATTTTGCTGCTTAAATGTTAATTGAATTGGAAGACTTTCTTTAATAGTGAACTTGTTTATACAATCCACTCGTAAAGTGGAGGCTAAAGAATTGAAGTATGGATTTCCCTTGAGGAAAGAGTGGTGTATAGGATGTGTGTGATTTCTATTTTCGTAACGTGCAACTAAACAAAGTTGTTCAGACAGACAACTAGTAGAGTGCAAGGCGCAAAACAGAGGGTGGAGTTGAAAGAGAGGTCGAACATGGTAAAAAGAGATCAGAAATACTTGTTTTTAGAATTTCAAAATTCATTGGATTTTGATTGGTCAAGATGAGTAGTGTGGAATTCTTTAAGACAATAGTTTTAAAAAGCAAAAAGTGAAAAGGGCATCAAACATGCCCTTCATAGCTCACTTTTTCCCATTGGGTTTATGAACCTAGAAGAAGTTTAGCAGAAGGAAAAAAAATTATTTGTGGAATTCCTTATTTCCAATTTGTTGATAATTGTATTTCAAGCAAGCAAGGATCTGGTAAAATACTGATTTAACTGAACAAAGTTAAATGTGTGGAAAAAAAAATGGAGAAATAACACTACTGTCATATTGAGATAGAAACTTGTTAATCAATTTCTTTAGTTGCTTTACTCTGCCTCAATATGACATAATATTATTATCTTATGGCACATAATTCTGAATTATTTTTTCTACAGGCATGACTTACATGTTTCCTCCGTGTAAGACTTTGGCTTATGCTTGTTTGACATTTTTATTTTATTTTTTCCTGATATGCTTTTAGTCACACCAAATTCTTCCTTGCACAAATTTTGCCAACACCTGTTGTTCTTTAATGAGTAAACCATGTTGAAGCAATTATCAAACAAAAATCAGAGGACCAAGAGCTTTAAGGTAAAACAAGGTTTTAAAATATTTACTTTGATTGCTGTTGGCATATGGTTGCTTTACCAACTCAAACAATACTCACATGATGAGAATCCGTATGAGGAAAGCTCAGCAAAAATATTTGAAAATCTGAAGGCTGGTCCTGAAACAAAAATACTTGGA